TAACCAGGTTCGAGCAATCCATTCCAGTACTAGGTTTTAATCCAGCCATGACTTTCAATCAAGTATTTTTACTTGACCAACGGAAAAACATGAGCATTTCTTACTTGGGCTTCAGCATTTGGACAGCGCTCTGCCGCCGCTCTAGCTGTTCCTCCTGCATTTTGAAAGTTCCGGTTACAGGACACTACTAAAATGCCCTGCGAGCCACCTTGAAATGTGGTTATTTCTCCGGTTACGAATCTCACATTAGGGAGAATATTCTCCGGCTTTATTGTTAAAGATCTATCTGCCATGACTGGTTAAAAGGTTTTTTATTATTCTTTATTTTTATTTTATTTTTGTTTATTTATTTTTTACGTTCTTATTTTTTATTATTTGTTATTTTTATTTATTTATTTTTTTTTTTCTTCCTAGTTTAACCATGGCTTTTCTCGCGTCGGAATGCCGTTGTTTCTTTCTACTTTTTCTTTCAGTTAATCCTCCGTTCTCCCTATCTCTTTCCTTTTCGAGAGATTGGTGCGGTTTTTCACTTACTCCAAAGTTATAAGCATACAAGGTCCTTGGTGCACGAGCCTTTATCAGCCTAGAAACCAGTCTTATTTCGGTTAGTCCGGTATCCAATATTTGACCTTCACCAGTGCCCCACGTTGGGCGCCATGATGCGAGCGTGCCCTTTAAGAGGTTCCGTTAGATCCTCGAGTTACGCTGCTTTCTCAGGGAGGTTGAGGCCGTAGGTGAGTATTATTGTATCAGACCCTGGGATGGACTTTCTCAATTAAAACTTGTTCCTATTTTAAAGGTTGGAATGGAATTGCCGTACTTGTTCTCCTGTATTAATTCACTCCCCTTTAAATCCTGTTATCCAGTGGTTTTGGATACTAAGGCGGTAGTTCAGAGTTGGCCAATCTTACTGACTATTATTTGGGTCCTATCAGGGTTAATTTGCGTCTTCGTTAGCAAAGTGGGCGGTGGTAACTAGAAAATGATTACCAGTTAGTTGATCAGGCTAACATAGATTTATCAATTAATCTAATTAATCCACCCTTTGAAATGGTTCCTTCCCACGCTTAACAAAGACTTTTTTGGTGCAAAAAGAGCCTGTTTGAACCAACGAACTATCATGGCTTATCACCCTTAGGCATGTCCCGATACTCAAGAGAGAGGGGGAGATGAAACTCCCATTAGCCTAAGGTATCTTTTATTAATCTGTCACACCCTGAAAAACAGGTCCTGTGAAGCAGGTACAAGCAATAAGGTGGCTTACCTCCACTCCTGTTAGGCCAGGGCCGGAGCTCCCACTCAAAGAGATTAAATTGTCCCTTAAAATCCAATGAATGAGAATCCTTTTTCAAAAAAGTTTATTCCAAAATTCAAAAGATATAAAAGGGTAAATCCAAGATTAAATATCCTCTTATGAGTATGCTGCGTCTAACTATCTAAGAGGAAAAAGCTACTGTCGACTCTCTGTCTCTCGTTGCCGTGACCTCGCGCTGCGTGCGTACGTGCATGCATACATACGTGCGTCCTCGCGCCCTTCTAACTTGTTCTTATATATGTTCTAAAAACTGCTAAGCAAAGCATTTTCCATTGTATAGCATTTTCATGTTACAAGCACTTTTTCAGAGTGACGTATATATGATTTAACTTTAAGACAACTAAAACAATGTAATCTTTAGTCATCTGCGTCACAAGATAGTAAAACAAAGTAATCATTTATCATTTGTAGGACGGTTTCAGATCCTTCTAAAGCTCGAGCTGTCTTCAAAGGGGCTTCACATCCTGTGGTGCTGTCTTCAGTTGGCTCCCTTCCTGTCTTCACCTGCCTCGATTTCACTCGCATCAGCAGGCTCCGCTGGGCTCCGCTTATCTTTGCTCTCCATGTGGCCCCTCCCGTTGTGTCCTCTTCCTTTGCCACTTCTGTCTGTGGCTCTGATCTTCGGGAGCATGCGACAATGCGACCTCTTGGACCACCGCTGAGGCAAGATGTGATGCGTCCTCTTGGACCACTGCTGAGGTGAGATGCGATTCAGACGCGGGTCTCAGAGCAGGAGCCTCATGGTTAGGCGGCACAGCTCTGCCGTCTGATGCTCTATAGAGTTCAGTCCTGGGTTGCAGAGCAGGGGCCTCTGAGATAGGCGGCACAACTCTAGCCACATGAGAATGTTGGTGATGGCGGCGATGTCGACCGCGGGCACGGCTCTTAGGAGGAGTGGGAATGACATCAGCAGGTACCGCAGATGAGATACAGCCCACCGGAGAAGAAGTGGTGGCGCTGTCAGGACCAGGTGAGGGTGTGGTAGAGCTGTCTGGAACCGGTGGAGGTGTGGTGACACAGACCATAGGGGGGTTGAGTGATGGAGACAGCAGGAACAGTTGGAGATGAGTGGTGACAGCCCACCGGAGATGAAGTGGTGGCGCTGTCAGGACCAGACAGAGAAGTGGAGGTGTGGTGCCTCTCAGATGCTGAGAAGGCAGCTCTTAAAACAGCGCTTGCTGACAGATTATAATTCACAGAAAAGGAGGGAAACTGTGGACTGCTACAGGCGTCCTGCAGATCCTCTGCGACGTCCCAAAAGACTGACTCCTCAATTGAATTGTGCTCGAAATATAGGCTGGCCCATTGCAGGGCTCGTCCCCTTAGGAGGAACACCATGTTAACTACCAAGTCAATGTCCAGCATGTCCCTGTCATGAAAAATCACAAAGTCCAATAAAAAGGTCTTACAGGAGTCCGGGTCGCCATGAAAAGGGTACATCCGGGTCCGCTGGGTCCTGGTTGGTCGGTCCATTCTGTCACGATTCGGTGTTGGTAGGACCCAAAATGCAGGAACCCAAGATGACACGAGGCAGGAGATGATGTAAACTTTACATCATATACGACACCTCTAAACCCAAGTTTCCTGTCATTTCTGTCCACAAATAAAACGCTTGCTGCTTGCAGGAAGGCATTTTTGAAAAACAACATTTATGTTTACCTATATAACATTCATATGAAACTGTGCTAATACAACAAATTACTTTCCATTAATAAATTATTGTCATGGTCTGTGTTCTGCCCCTTCCTTCATGTGCCTCCTGGTGTCCTCCATCCCTCTCTAGATTCCCTTTTGTGTCTCATAGCGCCCTCATGTGTCCTTTGTCTGCGTCTCCATTATGTGTTTTCTGTTTGTAGGCATTCGATCATTCCCATCCCCTCCAGTTGTAGCTCCAGCCTCTTTGTCCCCAGCTCTGTGTCTGTGTTGGTGCATGCGTGTCCATTAGAGGTGGGAAAAATGATCGATTCTAAGATGCATCGCGATTCAGCCGTGCACGATTCCGCATCGATGCAGCAACGTGACATAATGAGATTCTCTCCCTATGTCTATGTCGGGGGTCGGCAACGGCGGCTCTGGAGCCGCATGCGGCTCTTCCATCCATCTGATGCGGCTCTCTGTGCTTATAAAATAATGAATGGATATTTAAATAAAATGCTTTATATTTTACTGCATTAATTTTACATCTGTATGCCAATTCTAAATGTAAAGATTGTCTGCGAGACCGGGTTGACGCGTCACGCTTGTGCGTAATCATAAAGGCGCATTCTGAGCTGACGAGGACGTGAGATTCTGGGATTCTCCTCAGCTCCTGGATGTGCCGCCACATTGGAGACAGGAACAAGCGCTATTCAGCCAAAGTTTCATAATCAGGGAACATTTTCTAAGTGACAAGTCTTGCTTCAGTCGGAGGAATCTTCCTGCGCTTTGGTTCTGCGACGTGCTCCAAGCCCCTCTCCACAACTTCAGCTCGCTGTGCGCCGTACGTACGCGCTGACAGCAAGCTGCGCTGAGCTCAGTGTCCAGCTCAGATGGGAATCATTTCTTAAGTGGTTTAGCTACATCTGCGCGAAACGAATAAAGTGTCAGTTCGTCTGCATGCGTCGGGGTAGTTCTTTCTATTCTTTCTCCGTCAAAATAAACGGTTAAATACGGGAACTATCCGGTCAACACAACACAAGCCCTGCTTTTAACTGTTCTGTTTTCTTGTGAAAATTGTTGCAAAGAGATATAATTTAACTTGATTAACACCAGAGCCATATCTCCGTCACTGTAAATGAGGGAAAAACAAAATGATCGGATCCTTTTCTGACCTTCCCCACCTACAAAGTTTAATTACAACAATCAAACGTGACAGAGCCTGGATTTGTATTCTGAACAGTCTAAACATGTTTTTAAAAGAAACGTATGACAAAAGTGGCACCTGCTCAGTAAAACCACCAACAGGGTGAAAAATATCTAAATATTGTAGGCAGAGACGGGCTACAACTTCTGGATCCATTTTATATAAATAGTTTTATTGATCATCTTCTTATGAAAGATAACTTTGAGGTACACGAGCAACCGGTACTGGCTGCTGTCACCTGTTGTGAGCAACACATTAGCGCTCTGCTGTCTGAGGGTAGGCCCCGCCCACAACGCCGCGGCTGCTGTGGTGTTTTCTTTACTGTGGGAAACGGGTAATAATGGCTCTTTGATGGGAACAGGTTGCCGACCCCTGGTCTATGTCTATGCACGTGTAACGTGAGGAAATATGAGTTTTCTGTCACAAAGGTGGTGTTGGACTCAGCTGGGTCAAAGCTGGGTCGCTGAGAACTTTCACCCACAGATTAAGACCTGAACGCCAGAGAGTCTGGGAGGAAACCATAACATCTGCCACCTGCAGTACCAGAAGAAGGAGTTCTCATGGACAAGTAGTCATAACATAACAAGTCTTAAAACTTTGTTTCTTGATTTTAATGTTAAAGTAACCATTATCATTTTGCTCATTATAAATGTGTTTAATCAAATGAATGGTTCTTATGCTTTGGGTAATTATAATGGATTAATGAAGCCATTCTTAAATAATGTTTGAGAATGTTTGTTACTGACCTTCACACACACTCAAGCCATAGACTGTACATACTGGACAAACGGATTCCATAGACTCCAATAACACGTTTTTTGTCTATAATGGAAGGTGGCCACCATCGCCATTTTGACCGTGTCACAGGTTCCGTCCAGCCCAGACAATTCCATAAAAGGGAAGAGAGGAGGAGCTGAGGGTGGGGCTGTAAGGCTGGGCTCGAGTGACGACGCCCGTGCGAACTAGCTACGAGCTAACCTGAAGCTAACCCTGGCTAACCCAAAGCTAACGCGGAGGTGGGAGCCGAGCTAACGGATGTAGCCACCTAGCTTCAACCCAACCGGAGCTAACTGGAACACCCATCGACCTGAACCTCACACGGAGTTTAGGTGGAGGTTTTCGGCGCCTGTTAGTGACAAGTACCTGGATTTAAAAAGTATTGAATCGGTAAGTTTATAATTAATTTCCGTAATGCAAACATTTTGCTGTGAGCAAGTTTTCAGTACCGTATCTTCCGGGCTATCGCTCCTGAGTCGCACCAGCCATTAAATGTATAATGAAGAAGAGAAAATATATTTAAGTCGTATTTTGGGGGGGCATTTTATTATCTTTCTTACAAAATCTGAGACCAAGCGTTTCACATTGCAACACAAGCACCGGTAACCATAACAGAATGAACAACAGCCAGCAGAGGAGAGGATGGCGGTGTTTCAAACACTCCCGGCCGGCGAGGAGAGCTCATTCCTGGGCTGGAGCCGGCCCTCAGCACCCCGCCACAGGCTCTAACAGATGCTGGCGGTGTTTGAAACCCTTCCAGCAGGACAGGGGAACTCATTCTTGGGCGGGTCGGAGTCGGCCCGCAGCAGCGCGGTGTAGCCTACATATTTTGTTATATAAGTCGCTCCGGAGTATAAGTAGCAGGACCAGCCAGAATATGTAAAAAAGTGCGAGTTATAGTCCAGAAAATATGGCAGTTATTAGTATTCGAGCTAAATTAGCAGCCTAAATACATTTCATATATTTCCAAAATGTGATACTTGTTTGTATCTTGTACAGCCAACTAGTCTTTATTCTGGACTCAGTACAATTTACCAAAAGTAAAGAGTCATTATACAGATGAAGTAAGCACAAGATAACTTACTGGAAGACACGGAATTATCATCAGAACCAGAACAAGAGAGCCTGATAACAGTCATGTGAAAATAAGTTAAAAAGTATGTATGTATAATAGAAATAAAAATATATTAGAATTAGTGTAACTCACTGTGATCCAAACAATAAATCAGCCATAGCTGATTAGTAAATATGACATGAGGTCTGGGAGTTTTTAATTTTAATTTTTATTTTTTTCTTAGATCTGTTTAAATGTCACCATGGCAGCCTGTGTGTCTCCAACATCAGCTACACAAAGCAGCAAGTGTAAGTTCCACATACCTGTCTCACCACTTCATGTATGGTTTTGTACTTTAAACAATTATGACAAACCTGTTATTTTTTCCTCCATAGCCATTTGGATCATTGGAGACAGCTGAGTGAGGCGTGGTGCCCAGAGAGCTGCAGAGACCGTGGGAGACAACCTTGGCCTCCCTGACGTCTGTGTCTCCTGGTTCGGTTGGGGCGGACCATCGACATACATACATGTGCCGACACTTTGCGCCCTGTTTTATAAACTGTAGTGTTAAAAATAAATGTTTTTGCTCAATTACTGGAATTTCTTTGGTTAAGACAAAAGTGAGGAATAATCATTTACAAGTTATTTGTACAACAGGCCCATTTTAAATCCCAACAGTTTCTTAGCAGACAATAGAAATTTGTTCTTTACTAACTTTACTTGGTTTAAAAATCTTACTAAAATAGTGCCGTATTGCAAAACCCAATCATACTTATGTAAACATTAGCTTTGTAGATATTTTTTACAGATATATATTTGTGTGCAACAAAAACCAAACTTAAATAATTTGTCATTCTTTATTGAAAAACAACAAAATACAGTTATACAGAAGTGTGGGAAAATGATAATGTGAAAGTATTGCTCTTTAAATGTAATCCTATTTATCTTTAAAAAGAAAAACTCTAAAAATGTCCTGTACAGCATCATGACAGAAGAATGGTGGTCTGTCTGTCAGAATGTGCTGAACAGATTTGCTCTTTGAAGAGGAGTGTCATGTTTGGAGGAAGGTACTTAACCCAAGACATGCAGAATACAACACTGACCAAAAACTGATGGAAAAAATGATTTATTTATAAGGAGGAACTTAAGGTGCACAGATAAGTCTGTGGTTGGAACTGCAACAACAGCTCAGCGTCTGGAGGAGGGAGAACACAGGTGAGCTTGGGTTCTGGTTTCAAAATCCATTGTAGGCAGGCAGAGGTGTTCAGCAGACTTACTGTGGTGGGTGTACATGTTGGCTGGAGGAGGGAGAGGTAGAGAGCCGGGGGAAGCGCAGGAGAGGGAGCAGAGGTGGAGAGAAGCGGGGCGTCCTGGTGGATGGGGCAACGGGTGAGATGAGAGGTGGGTTATGGAGGGTGGTGATAAGGTCCGTGTGTTAAATATCCAAATCCTGGAGTAGAGGTCAGTATCCAATGAGGTCGACAGGAATCCTGAAGAATGGTAAATCCAATATAAGAGCAAAAACACTACGACATAACATTAATCCTAGGAACACTAGAGGTAACACGAGTGGCTGGTTACTACCAAAACTGAGGCAATCTTCTGGCGTCAAATTGCATCCTCCATCCACCTTAAATAGGAAAGCACCCCGCTGATTGCTGATCAGGAACGGCTGGGGTGGAGTCACCAGAACCATGAAGAACGTGTCTCCAGAGACAACCCGGGTCCTGGTACCGATCAGGAAGTGGACCTTATCACCCAGAGCTGCCAGGTCACGCTCAAAGCCTTCATGTTCACGCTGCAGAGCCTGAACGCTGGCCAGGTCATGGCCATAGTTGTCTGTGTTCAGGGCCTGGTTCTTCTCCTCGATCCACTCTTTGGTCTCATCAGCATCTCTGAGAAGACATCAGAACTCCGTCTGAGTGTGGGTCCAAACTCTACTGACCCGTAAGCGGCGCATAAGTGTGCAGGGTACCTGTGGAAGCGCTGCACCTCATGGGCGCTGCCCAGCATGTTGCTCCGCTCTTCAGCCCGCTGTTGCAGCGAGCGCCAGCGGTTGTTCAGCTCCTGGAGAGAAACCAAACCCAGTGAGATGAAGGTGGACGCCAGCGGGCTGGACGCCGGACGAGGAAACCTGGAGACGGATCGCTCAGACAGGAAGGGAAGAGCTTCCTCTTACCTTGATGGAATTAAAGTTAGCCGTCGTCTGAACGCCCAACCGTACGGTCTGAGGTCAAAGGTCACAGGAAACACACACCAGTCAGCAGTCATACAGATGCATAAAGATAACTGTAGCCATGGCAACCAGCTGACATGTCCCCACTTTCACCAGCACCTGGTGCCTGCCAGGTCACCTGAATTCCTGTGTGATGTCAGCACGGTCGGCCGTGACTGCGGCCATCAGAGGTGACCTCTGATCAGCTGAATGAACTCACCTTCTAGGGTGACGCCGTCTTACCCCGGGTTTCCACGGGAGCCGTCAGCAGCATGTTACTGCAGCAGCACGTCTTGCTCGCGTAAGCTGCTGCTTGGCCCTTCCCACGAGACGCGAAGCAGCAGGGCAGCAGCTGTCACCGACCGAGCACGAAGTCACACGAGTGACTTCGTCAGTAAACACAACAACAAGCAGGAGAAAACTACGACATGGTTTGTTTTATGTTCTGTCCGTTTTATAATCGCCAATACGGACCTGAAAAACAAAGGAGACCGCTAGCTAGGTGATAACTTCTCACGGGGCCGCAGTTAGTAACCTTTTTTAAAAGTAAAGCAACCGGAAGGCAGTACGTTCTTTATTCTGAAAATCTCGGTAGCTTCTCTCAATTTCCGCGTCCGATTTCCTGTCTTTCCTTCCCCAAAAATGTCGAACTTGACCCGTTTCAGAGGCGTCGCGCGTAGAAAATAGAACCGGCGCGTAAAGGCCGCGACATGCTGCTCCTGAGACACGGCCGACTCGCGCTGCTGACGGCTCCAGTGGAAAAGGTTCTGTTGACCACAGCGGTTCCTATCAGCAGCTATGACGTGCTGCTGCAGTAACGTGCTGCTGACGACTCCTGTGGAAAGCCGGGGTTAGAGTCGGCTTCATCCTGTAAACAAACAAATGAGTGGTAACAAAAACACCACGTCTGGTTCTGGTGGAGGCGGAGGACAACACGCACCTTTCCAGGAGCAGAACCCAGATGTTCTTGTTGCTACAAACAGAGACGAGCAGAGTTAAACCAGGAAGTGAGAGGGACCAGCTGCTGCAGACAGGTGACGCTCACCTGAGCCTGAACCATAGGAGCCTCCTCAGCCATCAGACCTTCTGACTCCAGTTCAGATGCCACCTTGTTGATGTCCCTCAGGCGGGACTCGTTGGCCTTCAGGTCCTGCAGGACAAAAGCACCTGCTGATTACCTTGTTGCTGTCGGGTTAACAGGTCTGGTGTTAGAACGTGGTGGATAAGAATGTTCTGACGGGCCGAGGGTTCTGAACTCACCCTGCAGGACTGGGCCTGCTCCTTCAGGGCCTGGATGCTGCTGCCGTAAGCCGACAGGTCCGACATCAGGGCCTCGTGCTTCTTCAGGAGAGCCTGTGGAGCAGAACGTCAGAACCTTCAGCTCGTCTGACACAAGTGGAGCTTTCTCGCAGCGATGGTCCAATCGGCTCCGCCACCGTAAAACAAACCCTGCTCAGTTCACCGCAGCTCTGCGGGTGTTTAGTGGAAAAGCGTGAGCCTTCTGCCGGCTGCCACGTGTCATGGCTGCTCTGCAGCGGGAACACACATCACAGCTTGTAAACCGTTTGAAATAAGAGCGCCGGGAACACGTTTGTCATCACTTCCTGTGCGAGGCCAGCACTTCTACCCCTAACCCATGAGATGCTCAAACGAGCAGCGACGTCTGGTAGACAACCGAAGGAAATGACAAATACAGAAACATTAATTATGAAGGACTGGAAAGAGAGCAAAGAAAAGCGATTAGAGTTTCTCAGGAAGGGACTTCCATACCTCGGCCAAGTCCTCGTCTTTCCCTTAGTCTGGATTTCCAACGATGGGCTCCTTCTCCCTCATCCAGGACTCGGCCTCATTAGCATCTGCAAAGTACTGCTGGGCCTGCAGAGAGTCCTCCAGGTCCTGCCTCCTCTGGGACGCCTTGGCCTTCAGCGTGTCCCAACGTCCATGAAGCTCCCACAGTTTAGTCTTCACTTCCTCACCAGCGAAGTGACCTGGACCCAAAAAAAGTGAGCCAGAACCTGCAGACACCTCAGAAACATGTCAGGACCAGACCTGCTCTACCTTCTTCCACCATGGTCTCTCCTTTCTGGGTGACAGCCTTGATGCGAGGTTCATGACCTGTGATCTCAGCCTGCAGAGCCTGGTGCTTCTTCAGCAGGTTCTGGACACCAATCAGGTCCTTCCCTGAGGACACATGTTAGAGTTCAGCATTATGCAGTAGACAGACCAGCTTAACCCAGGGGTTTCTTTCTTCTACAATCTGCTCTTTAACTGTATTATTTCCTGCTATTTCAACTGTTAACTTTATTTTTTCTCTTAAGTGTTTTTCTCCCCAGAAGAAGCTACAATGGTGTTCTGCTGAGCTGTGGTGGCCTCATGGAGGGGGCCATCGGCTAGCACACTGCTGCTAACCACTTAAACATTCTCCCTCTCCTGATAATAGCATTTTACTTTCTTTGATGTTGGATGTGCTACTGCTAGTTTACCCGTTAAATTATAGATTCACTAGGATAAATACAATAAAGTTTATCTCTCGCCAAATAGAATATTTACTAAGAAATCACAATGTAATGTGTGTGTGTGTGTGTAAAACCATGTGTAGTGTTTATTTATAAAGCATATGTTGTTGGATTTTATCCAGAATCGAGACTTTGAAAATATATAGTTTAATTACAGTTTGATTTATTTGACATCTGTATAATGTTTATTATTTTGTTTTTTTTCCCCAAATACCTAACGTTTTAGTTAACATGAATATTAGTCATTCATCCCAAAACATAAAGTTACACATTTTACATTTTAATAGGGGAAGACTGCAGGAGGGAGCGGTAAAATATAGGGGGTCCCCTGCAAAAACTAACTTTACGAGTCTGATGAAACTTGCTGGTGTTCCCGCTGCTTCTTCGGTAAACAGCGCCAACAAAAACAAAGAAACTTGGGATCTTGTCGGCGTGGCGGTGGGATTTAAGGGAAACGCTGTATGCCCTATAGACTTCTCAACGAGCTGCAGTATTTCTCCGGTCAGCCCGCAGCAGCGAGGCGCCGCATCGGTCAGCCTGCCCGCTGGGGATTACCGGATGAAAGAATGGAGCACAGGTGTCCCTCCAAGCGGCGCGCTCCGTCATATTTCAGCCCATTTTTATCTTAAATGCACTGGGTTTTACCCATCGAAATATGCCCTATTAATTATTTTACCGTATTTTACATTTAAATTTCATGGTTAAACAGTACATGCTACATGTTAAACTGATAGTTAGCTAGCTACTTCGGTAAACTCAGCTAGGCGGCAGTGACATAAAATACAAATATAGATTTTAACTTACCGAAAAAAATTAAGTGGAGACTCCTTGGACGCTCTATTAGTGCAATTAATACCACAGCAAGTCATTTTGTCCAACAATTGCACCAATATTATCCAAAACAGAATTCACAAGCACAGAGACTCAAAATCCCGACACAGTTTCCAGGAGGGACCGAGGCTGTACTGAGGCCTTTCCACGGAGCTAGCTCTGTGGTCACGTGGGTCTGAGGCGGCGGTCACGTGTGTCGGCTGCTCATTAATTATACAGAATTTTAGGCTTTCAATACACTTAAACAGAAGAGTGAGAAAAAAATTCACCCCCCTCAGAGTTGTCATGAGTATAAACTAGATAATTTAGACAAAAAACCATTTTTTGAACCAGGCTGTAAACATGTTTATTTCTGCTGTGAAAATGGCATTTTTAACATGGGAGTCAATGAGGATTTGCTCGCTTCTGGCACCAGCCCCCAGCGGATGAGGGTGGAACTGCAATTTCTCTTACTTTCGGGATGGGACCATTTTCTGAGCGGCATTGTGGGGGCTTGACTCAAGCACACAAACACTCACACACACCCACACACATCTGCTCACAGTAAACTCCAAAACACATTTGCTGACGCACATGTTTTGCTTTGAGAAGAGAAAGGTTTTTGGTAAGTTTCAGTCTTATGATTTCAGTTCGTGCTTGACAACGAAAGAGAGAGGACGTGTGAACAACCGCTGAAAGGGGGGGAGCCGGTTGGCTTGTTTCTTTCCCCCCCCTCTCTCACGCTGTTCCTGCCAAGCCAGGCAGAATAGCTGAATCGCAACTTCTAACGCAGACTCATTACCGAGTCTTTTGATTTCTGAGTGAATTAACTTAAGAAAGCGCATCGACAAAGCGCTTTACCATCAACGTGTACCGAGGGCAACTCTGGACCGGTTCGCGGCGCATCTTCGTCTACTGTGCCAGCCAAGGTGCCCTGGATGAAACATCATCCTAAGGTGACGTCCCGGGTCCAACAGAGGGTCCGATTTTCGGTGAGGCAAAACACGACAGATAGCGTTTTGATGCATCTTTTCCAACTAAACCTAAGTTTATTCAAACCATCACTTTTCACTCAGACACCTGTTTCTTCCTGAAGCAAAATCAGATGCACACACGCATTCATCTCACCTCATGTTCAATTCTCACGACACTTTGCACACACACGCATCCATAACCACATCCTATTACTCTCAATCTTCATTCACCAACAGAAGGTCTATTTGAGCAAGAACAGCATATCAACTGTTAAAGATTGTCCCACAAGTTGCCAATGTTGATTGTTATTTCCTGTTTGTCAATTTCAAAATCATTAGTTTAATTTGAAGAATTAAAACTTTTAATTGTCAAACTGGTTTCCTCATTGAACTGAAACACAGACACACAGATATTATCATCAGTTTATCGATGAAAACAACCTTTGAGTCTTCTTAACAATATAACTGAGTAAAGACAGTTTCTCCTTACAATATAACTGAGCCAGCCAATTTTCTTTACACAGGACAATAAAGTTTTGAGGTTTTACAATTACTTCTGGGGGCAGAGTTGTACTGACATGCGCACTGCGTTGCCCTAGCTCCAATTTAAAACAGAAAAGGCGCGCAGGGACAAAGGGCCAACATTACCAGTAATCAAAGATGTACCCGTTACATTTAAATCGGATGTCTGGGCTAATTTCAGTTTTGGGATCCTGGATGTGAAAGAATCACTTAACACAGTATTTGTTTACTATGTTTAAGTTCAGTAATATTCAATCTTAAAGCTGCTCTACCGAAAACATTATTTCTTATCTTATTTAAGTAATTATAGGCAGCACACTTTAAAAATTATTGCTCACTATAGTGAATAGATGAATGTTCTGTTTTTCAGGGATTTCTAAATCAAAAAGAAATTGAAAACTATTCTACTGCTTTTATTAAGTAATGACAATTTTTGTGTGAAGAATTGTGATGCATTTCAGACTCAAATCGAATCGTTAGGCAGATAATCGGAATCGGATCGAATCGTGAGGCAGGTAGAGATGCACACCACCAGTGTCCATTCCCCAACTCAGTGTGTGTGTGTGCGCGCGTCCATCCCCCAACTCAGTGTGTGTGTGAGTGCATGTGTGTGTGTGTGCGTGTCCATTCCCCAATTCAGTGTGTGTGAGTGTATTTGGGTGTGATTGTGTGTGTGTGACTCCTTCCCTCAGTCTTTTAGTTCAGTTTTGTGTTTATCTGCCCTCCTTTGGTTCTGCTTCCCCATTTAGATAATTGTTGTCGCCTGTCTTCCCTCCAGCCCTCACTTCACACACCTGCTTCCTGTTCCCTTAATTACTCCTCCATGTTATTTAAGCCCTGTCTTGTCTTTGTCTTGTGTCGGTCCATTGTGGTAATTCAGTCAGTCTGCTCGTGTTGTCTCTACTGTTTTGATCTCCTGCTCAGCCCTTTGGATTTATTGGTTTTTTGGCTCCAGCCCTTTTGGATATATTTTTGTTTCACTCATCCTAATAAAAGGATTATATATATATATATATATATATATATATATATATATATATATATATATTCCTGGTTTGTGAAATAAGATTTGTTTAGAGATGAGATTTCAAGGTTCTTTTGAAGTAAAGCCCACATAAACAGAACACAGATACAAAATGTGCACCCCAACAAATAAGACAACCAACACCCAAATCACATCTGTCAGCCAGAACCGGCCCACCAGCAATAAAATTTCACCCAGCAAATGATTTCGTATTTTCACTATTTCTTAACTTTTGTTTTCTTATTTATTGACTTTCATTTATTAATTATAAGCTCTTTGGAAATGCTTTCTGAAAAAGTTAGGAAATAATCAAAAGATAGATTAGGTTAATAAATAAGATGGATTACAGTAATAAAAAAGAGATGAATAATGGATTGATCTTGTGTAGGAGATTTTCAACATTCATAAAACCATATAAACAATTTATAGAAGAAGGTGGCAGCAGCAATGGAACAACAGTTTGAAATTATTTTATTTACATAAAAACAATAAACAGACTGAAAAATGTACAAGTCTAGGTTTTCTTTGCAACAGTTACAGATGAAAGGTGATCCCACATTGTCTCAGTTTGTCACAGCGGCACTTCGAGCATCCGTAGGCTGCACAAAGTCAGCCATGTTGACCCTCAAGCTTCACAATTAATAAAAGTGTATTTTTGCAAACAGAAATCCAGAAATGTCCTGTTTTAATATATCCTAATATAAGTTTTCTGTAACAAACCAAAGCCCTTTTCAGACTGACATTCTGGAATATGTGTGGACAATTCAGTCCGGTTTTTAACCAGAACTGTTTTCAGACACACCACTTTTGTACCTGAACTTGTCCTTCCGGCTGCCTTCACACAGCAGGGAAAAGTTCCAGATGTCCGAGGGGGAGGGGGTGAGAAGGCTGAACCCGGATATTGCATAAATATAGTGCGGCAGGCGTACATGCGTCATTTACCCAAACAAAGCCAGGGCAGAATATTGTTCCAGTTAGTGTTTAGTGTGAGATGATAAATGATAAATATTCCCTTTCTTTCTCCAACAACTTTACCTGATAAGCTAACTTTAGGCAAACCAGCAGCACAACAAATATTTTCAAATAAGACTCACAAACCTGAGTTAACACCAGTCTC